CTTCTGTCTTCATTTTTCCCATTCGATTGTATCTCTCTCTCTCTCTCTCTCTCTCTCTCTCTCTCTCTCTCTCTCTCTCTCTCTCTCTCTCTCTCTCTCTCTCTCTCTCTCTCTCTCTCTGGTTAGGATGATCAAAATTGTGTGTTGAGGTTTATCTTATGACAATGGTGATGTTCTCATCATGTTCAGTGATGATGATCTGGAGGAGGAGAAGAAGGAGGAGGAAAAACAGATGGGATTATCGAAGTGTAATTAACTGGGAGTTATTTTTCATTAATCTGCATCTAAAACACGGTGAAAGTTATTTTGAAACCCATTTTATTTGTATATACATGTAATATTGATACTTTCGAATCCTGTTTGGCCTTTAGCATCAATTGTCATTGCAGGACGAAACGACGTGGTGCTTTCGTCGAGGTTCAAGTAATTCTAATACAGAGACTACTAAAACATACTGTGACAAACTGGAATAACACGGACCTCAAAACTCATGATAGGATATTATTATCAATGTTAATGAATAGGTAGATTGATGTTATGATTTGCTTCCTGAAAAAAATGCAATGGCTGTTGTATTTCTTTGTTCGAATGATATAAAAAGCCTTCCGATCTATTGAGATATGACAACGGATGAAATTCTTTTCCTCCCAAATGGCTAGAACAAAATAGAACAGTAATAATTAAAAATGCTTTTAAAAACAATCAAAGAATACCAACTTGTTAACAGTTTCTCAAACCAAACTAAAATTCAATAAACCTAGGGCAAAATGTAAACAAAAGACAGATATACACGTAAACTCCTGAAAATGTACATGGGGGTTTAGTTAATGCGTTTCGGAAGAGTAAGCGTTTTCTGCATCATCTGCTATGTAAATATTTATCAAATCAAGTAAGGTTACGTTTTCAAATAAGAACAAGGTATAAAACAACGAAAAAGAGAAAATACGTCTCAATCACATACCTATCGCGACCGTAAAACGCCCTCATCGACAAAACATTTTAACAAGTTGGGGTTGCAGAAATTGAAAATTCACAATAGGGGAGTTAAAATCACCACGCTTTGTGGTAAGCAGTCCATGTGGTTCCGAGGAACGAAAGTATCAAGAGAAGAGGCTGGTCTAGTGGCGGATATCATTTCCTTAATTTTCATATCTTAAGAATATGTAGGATTGACGTGACCTCTTGTTCAAAAACAAGAGGTCATCAATATATCTGAAAGTGAAACCGAAGATAGTTTAAGTATCGTATTACCAGATGATGACTAATTATTTTAATTTCCTGAACTTATGATCGGTGATTTTATATACTTCATTAACACATCGTATGTTCATAGACTGTGTGACTTTTGCTTTGAGGGCATCAGCGCTGAATTTTCAAATTTTGAAAATAAGATGAATTCGTCGATGAATACGTCGTATACTTTAGAACAGGAGGATTATGATGAATTCGTGAGATCCGGGATTCCCATCACGGCTTTTCTGATACTCTCATGTATATTGGGGACGATTGGAAATGTTCACGTGTTTTTGGTTTATTTGCTCAGATACAAAGCAAATATGTACAAAAAGTTGGTACTGTGTTTGACTGCAGTGGATTTTGTAGGATGCACGTTCTGCATTCCAGCCTCACTGTATATTATCAGAAACATCTACTCGGTGCAGTCTTCTGTTTTCTGTAAGTTGTACTTCACAACCATGAATATTGTAGGAACGTACTCCTTGCTTTTTTTGAATCTCATAGCTGTGAAACGTTATAGGAAAGTATGTCAGAGAGTTCGTGTCCAATTTAGCCAGCGAACAACTCGCGTGCTCTGTGGATTAAATTTTATCGTCATGCTCATAGTCTTCATCATCCCGGGATTTATGATTTTTGGTGTTAATCAGCAGACAACAAAGACTCATTCATTGCCCGGTTATAAATGTTCAGTGTTGAATCAGCTGTACAGGTCTACGGAGGGTTTATGTTATTAACGTTTGTCACCAGCATCACAATTTCAATTGTGTTGTACATTTTGATTGGTAGAAGGATATATATTCATCAGAAAAACAATATCACTACACGTATCCCTCAAAGAACAAAACACCTAACATCGCAGCCGGATGTCGTATATAGTGATATTACAATCTCAATCACACCAGTACGTTCCAGTACAGACTCAGAAATTACTACAGACAGCTACGTTATATCCACAGCTGCACGTGACCCAGACATGAAGCGAGATAACTCGGTGGCGAGTAAAAGTGACAAAGTCGGACAGTCAACTGAAAAAGAAAAGGCATTTCTAAAACCAATGCATGAAAGGAAAAGAAAGAAGCTTGTCAAAAGTAGAAATGTTACTAAAGTTTTCTTAGTGGTGTCCGTTATCTCGTTCGGTGTTTATCTCCCTTACCTCTTAACCACCGTAATTAGGAATATCAACCCACGTCTCTATCAAAACTTTGTGGATAATAATGGATCTCTGTCTTACTTTATAATTTGGATGATTTTCCTTAACAATGCTATTAATCCAATTGTATACGGTTTTATGGATAGAAAATTTCGACAGGAACTATCGGCATTTTACATTCAGATGAAACGATGTTGCTTGGTTTGTTGTAGGTGTGGCTAATAGTGCATGATGTGTCACTCATGTCTCCCGAAAGAAAATCAAATATGCCTTAAATGGAATATAGACTGAATTTCATATGGAATCTTAATGCGATGATACATAGACCCTGACACTTTAATCCGAAAGTTTAATTTCAATCCTCTGGATGATTTTATAATCTCAGTATTCACTTTACTGACATTACCATTTAGTTCTTGTGAAAACGTTAAACGCCTTTGAGTTGTTTTGACATACGAAACATGTTACTACAGACACATGGATGAATAGCACTTTTTAATAATTAAGAGTGATATACAGAAGAGTCAAACAGTGACTTAAACTACATATTACAGCTGTTTTGCCCTTCTAGGTCTCGTCAATGATGCTGCATACAGATATTTTTTCCTTCCAGACCTCGTCAGTGATGCTACATCATAAGAATGTTCCGTCATTCTAGGCCTCGTCAGTGATGCTACATCATAAGGATGTTTCGTCCGTCTAGGCCTCGTCACTGATGCTACATCTTACAGTGTATGTGGGGTCGCGGTGGGGGACGGGGGTGTTAGACAGTGTATGTTAGGGGGTCGGGGGTGGTAGTGTATGTTTGCGGTCGGAGATGGTAGGCAGTGTATATTTGGGGGTCGGGGATGGTAGACAGTCTATGTTTGGGGGTCGGGAATGGTAGCCAGTGTATGTTTGGGGGTCGGGTATGGTAGACAGTTTATGTTTGGGGGGGGGGGGGGGGGGGCGGAGATGGTAGGCAGTGTATGTTTGTGGGTGGGGGATGGTAGGCAGTGTATGTTTGGGGGGGGGCGCAGATGGTAGGCAGTGTATGTTTGGGGGGGCGCAGATGGTAGGCAGTGTATGTTTGGGGGTCGGGGATGGGAGGTAGTGTATCTGTGGGGGTGACTTGGGGGTTGGGAATCAGCGATACTGTATATGTGTGAGAGGATGGGGGACGAGGATGGTAGGTAGTGTATGTTTGGGGGTCGGGAATGGTAGTGTATGTTTGCGATCGGAGATGGTAGGCAGTGTATATTTGGGGGTCGGGGATGGTAGACAGTCTATGTTTGGGGGTCGGGAATGGTAGCCAGTGTATGTTTGGGGGTCGGGGATGGTAGACAGTGTATGTTTGGGGGGGGGGGGAGATGGTAGGCAGTGTATGTTTGGGGGGGGCGCAGATGGTAGGCAGTGTATGTTTGGGGGGGCGCAGATGGTAGGCAGTGTATGTTTGGCGGTCGGGGATGGGAGGTAGTGTATCTGTGGGGGTGACTTGGGGGTTGGGAATCAGCGATACTGTATATGTGTGAGAGGATGGGGACGAGGATGGTAGGTAGTGTATGTTTGGGGGTCGGGAATGGTAGGCAGTGTATGGTTGGGGACGAGGATGGGAGGCAGTGTATGTTTAGGGGTCGTGGATGGGAGGTAGTGTATGGTTGGGGGTCGGGGATGGTTGGCAGTGTATGTTTGGGGGACGAGGATGGTAGGTAGTGTATGTTTGGGGGACGAGGATGATAGGTAGTGTATGTTTGGGGGTCGTCAGGAATGGTAGACAGTGTATGGGGGTCGGGGATGGGAAGCATTGTATGTTTGTGGGTCGGAATGGTAGGCAGTGTAGGTTTGGGGGTCGGGGATGGTAGGCAGTATATGTTTGGCGGGTGGTGGTCGGGATGGTAAGTAGTTATGTTTGGGGGTCGGGGATAGGAGGTAGTGTATCTGTGGAAAGTTCGGGGTTGGGAATCAGCGATACTGTATATGTGTGGGAGGGTGGGGGACGAGAATGGAAGTAGTGTATGTTTGTGGGTCGGAATGGTAGGCAGTGTAGGTTTGGGAGTCAGGGATGGTAGGTAGTGTATGTTTGGGAGTCGGGGATGGTAGGTAGTGTATGTTTAGGGGTAGGGATGGGAGGTAGTGTATGTTTATGGGTCGAGGATGGTAGGCAGTGTGTGTTTGGGGGACGAGGATGGTAAGTAGTGTATGTTTGGGGGTCGTTGGGGATGGGAGGCAGTGTATGTTTGAGGGTCGGTGATGGTAGGCAGTGTATGGTGGGGACGAGGGTGGGAGGCAATGTATGTTTACGGGTCAGGAATGGGAGGTAGTTTATGTTTGGGAGGTCGGGGATGGTTGGCAGTGTATGGTTGAGGGACGAGGGTGGGAGGCAGTGTATGTTTAGGGGTCGGGGATGGGAGGTAGCGTATGTGTAGGATGGGGCTGTGGATGGGCATCAATACGGAAGATTTGCTATTGTCATTGGTATCAGATGAATTATGCACGTTTTTATTTCCTTATTTTGTGGTTGTAAAGTGTCGTTTGTCATTCATTTGGTTTATATCATACAACTTATCACGTGATATATTCATAAACTGTTTTACTTCTGCTTTAGATGCGTTATTATTGAGTTCTCTAAATGAACATGAATTCTTTGACGAATGTGTCGTATACTTTAGAACAGGAGGATTATGATGAATATATGAAGTCCGGGATTCCTATCACGGCTTTTCTCATAGTCTTGTGTGTCGTTGGAACAATTGGAAACTTGCACGTGTTTTTGGTTTATTTGCTAAGATATAAGCCGAGCATATATAAGAAATTTGTATTGTGTTTGACTGCAGTAGATTTTGTCGGATGTTCTTTCTGTGTTCCAGCCACTCTGTACATTATCAGAAATTACTTATCGATGAACTCTTCTGCTTTATGTAAAATGTATGTCACAGTCATGAACACTATCGGAGTCTACTCTTTGATTCTTTTGGATTGTATAGCTGTGGAACGTTACAGAAAGGTATGTCAAAACACACGTGTTCATTTCAGCCAGCGAACAACTCGATTGCTTTTCGGATTAAACTGCGTTTTCATGATTGTAGCATTTATCATTCCCGGAGTTCTCATTTTTGGTATAAACCGGAAGACAACAAAGGCTCATTCACTTGATGGATATGAATGCACAGTTTTAAATAATTATAAGAACTCAGCGTTGGTGAATGTGTACAGGGGATTTCTATTCATCACAGTGGTCACACTCTTACTAATTTCAATTGTGTCGTACATTTTGATTGGTAGAAGGATATATATTCATCAGAAAAACAATATCACTACACGTAACCCTCAAAGAACAAAACACCTAACGTCGCAGCCGGATGTCGTATATAGTGATACTACAATCTCAATCACACCAGTACGTTCCAGTCCAGACTCTGAAATTACTACAGACAGCTACGTTATGTCCACAGCTGCACGTGACCCAGACATGAAGCGAGATAACTCGGTGGCGAGTAAAAGTGACAAAGTCGGACAGTCAACTGAAAAAGAAAAGGCATTTCTAAAATCAGTGCATGAAAGGAAAAGAAAGAAGCTTGTCAAAAGTAGAAATGTTACTAAAGTTTTCTTAGTGGTGTCCGTTATCTCGTTCGGTGTTTATCTCCCTTACCTCTTAACCACCGTAATTAGGAATATTAACAGACCTCTGTATGAAAACTTTGCAGATAATTATGGATCCATAGTCTACTTCATAACCTGGATGATTTTCATAAACAATGCTATTAATCCAATTGTATACGGTTTTATGGATAGAACATTTCGACAGGAACTATCGGCATTTTACATTCAAATGAAACGCTGTTTAGTTTCTTGGAGGCATGGCTGATAGTGCATAATGTGTGTTTGAGTTTTGCTTTGACATACTAATGAATATACAATATACTTAACTTTTCATTCAGTGATATATATGTATATCACTTGTGGACTATAACGCTTTATTACTGGCGGGGTCAGTCAGATAAGTCATGGACAAAGCTAATACGTCATCATTTTAAATGGCGCAACAGTATGGCTACCCGTGTCGTGTTTAATTCCATTCTATCTCCCTCGTTTTGCTCTTTTCATTAATTAATTTGTTATTATTTAACGTGTCTAGTTTTAGTTCCTGCTTATCAAAGCTCGAAAAAAGCAAAATCAAAAAATCAAAAACTAGTTTCACAAAATCATTTAACATCCAATATATACTAGATGGAGACAACAATGTATATGCTTACATATATAAGTTAAATAATAATCCTTGATGATGAGTTATAATTGATTTGCTTGAATACCGTTACATTAAGTTGCTTCCATTGAACTGAAACAATGATACCGGTTTGGCATCAGCTTTAACATCAGACTTTAAAGTGTACAGAATGTTTATGTACATTACTAAAGATAGAATTGTTGTGCATTACTTATTGGTAGTAACTTGTACCAAATCCGGATGAACAATGAAAAATAGTTTTTAAAATTTACATTTTCTACACGTTCTATGAAAATATTTTTACCCAGCAAAAACAAGTTTCATTTTAATGCCAGAAGTTATTCAGCCACTTCGCATTTACAAACCAATAAACATTTTTTAGTACAGAATAACTGAAATGTTGATTTATTTAAATCTTGTGGAGAATTGAGGGTATTGACTATTGATACCATCTGACATCAATATTTTTAAAATTTTGCTACAGATCTAAATGCAGATAAGTTATGTCATTTGCTATATATATAATCAATATGCCGAATACCATGTCTAAAAATGGTATCGAGAATTTATTTGTGTTAAACGAAATGAGAAAATGTATTATTTTAAGAGGAATTCAATACAACAACTAAGGCTAATGTAAACCAAATAACTTTCCCTTTCCGTGATTCGCGGAAATGACCAGGAAATACCGAGAGAAACCACGAAATGTTTCTCGACCTCAATAATGAGACACTCATATATTAATATATACAGCGTTCTAGTTCAATGTTCTGTGTACAGATAATCTCACCGAGAATTGTTTTTTTCGATTATAGCTGTTGGTTTTACATTTCTGTAAATGTAACATAGATCTAAATTCAGACGGGTTAACAGGTTTTGTAATCTGTTTCAGTGTAATTAAAATTTTAAAATCACGGATATCTTCCGTCAAATAAAGTCATTTTGAATCTGAAAGGAATTCTGCTTTTTAGCAAATATTCTGCCTTACTTTTGCTAGTCACTAGTGCAATTATCTGTGAGAGTTTTTCATTCGCTGTGAATGCCAAACTTCAACTAAGATACAAAACACAACCCTGTTTTTATACCGTCGTCCGGTGATCATTCACGCCAAAAAAATTAATTCTTTCTTTTTTGATGTACAAACGTAAAGAGTTTCGTGTCTATGTCCACTGTTTCTCTTTAATATTCAGTCGACCTTTTTAAAAATCCGTAATACAATGCTTTCGAATTTTAGAAAAAGATGTTTGATTTACGACGGAAATTGAACACTTTATTATTGTCACGTGATCAATTGCCGAGCGGAAAACGAGAATATATGTATGTCTGTACTCTTTCAACGAAACCGATATTCACTGTAAAACTTCCGTTCTTGACAATGTGATAAATCATTTCAATGTTTTTGATTGAATAAAGTTGAAAAACCGAAGAAAAAGAAACTATGTTTCTGTTGATCTTATCTCTCAGCCTACCAAATGGAGATTTTTATATAATGTGTTACTATTACTATGTTAACCTAAGGCCAGTGTTTGGATTTAGACATTTGGTCTGTGTTTCGATTCGCAACACTTTTCTGATCATGATTCTTTTGCAAGGAAGTCAGGAAGTTCTTAACATTGATGTTATTTATAAAATGCAAATTTCCTATAAGTTTAAAGTTTAGTTTGACCCACACATGGTGCAATAGTGGAATAACCTAAAGTCAAAGGTTAAACTAATGTACTTTTCTCTCAAGATCTTTATGACTCGATTGTTACTGATATACGACAGTCAACATCACGTGATTCAATGTAACCATTCAATCCCACGTCCGTAGGGACAGTATATCTTACTGACAAACCATTGAACCATGTATTGAACTGTATAAGGCATGTGCTAATTGTCTGCACATTTTGTGAAACACTTATGTCTTCATTGTGGATATTATGTTTTTTATCTTTGAAAGGTCGGTCAAAGATCAAAGTCAAGGCCTTAGGTACCACGGGAAATGTCTTGTTACAAGGAAGATACATGCCAAATATGTAATCTCTACGGTGTAATAGTTATGGGCAGGGTTAATGGTGATAACAAGCAAACAGATATTACAAATACAATATGGCCCCGATTTTGCAATCTGGCTACATAAAAACCGGTCCGGGCTATCATTTCCTTGTTTTGTAATGATACACACAAATGCCTTCCTGATTAAGCGGTGAATTTCGTAGAAACAATGTGTAGGAGTGGATACCTATCAAGACGTATTACTACTGTTATTGGTATAGCAGATGACAACTAGAACATTTTCATTTTCAGATTTTGTCATCCACTTGTTTGATATGATTCAATTGTGAAGCAAGGAATACTCACAAACTGTTTCATTTCTACTGTAGATACATAACTGTTCAGTTGTCAAAGTAAGATGAATACGTCGATGAATACGTCGTATACTTTAGAACAGGAGGATTATGATGAATTCGTGAGATCCGGGATTCCTATCACCGCTTTTCTGATACTCTCATGTATCTTTGGTACGATTGGAAATGTTCACGTGTTTTTGGTTTATTTGCTCAGATACAAAGCAAATATGTACAAAAAGTTGGTACTGTGTTTGACTGCAGTGGATTTTGTAGGGTGTACGTTCTGCATTCCAGCCTCACTGTATATTATCAGAAACATCTACTCGGTTCAGTCTTCTGTTTTCTGTAAGTTGTACTTCGCAACCATGAACCTTGTAGGAACTTTATCGTTGGTACTTTTGAATGGCATAGCTGTGGAACGTTATAGGAAAATATGTCAAAAGGCTCCTACCCATTTTAGCCAGCGAACAACTCGCGTTTCCTGTGGATTAATCCTCGTTGCCATGATCACCTTATTTTTCATCCCCTCATTCTTCATGTTTGGTATTAACCAGGAAACAACAGAGGTTCATTCACTGCCCAGTTATAGATGTGCTGTGTTGAATCATCTGAGGAATTCAACGTTTGTACACGTATATGGAGGGTTTCTGCTACTATCCTTTCTCATCAACTTAACAATTTCAATTGTGTCGTACATTTTGATTGGTAGAAGGATCTACATTCATCAGAAAAACAATATGGCTATTTCTCCACAAACAACGAGTTTAAAGGACACGGCAAGAGATACTGCAGTCTCTTCAATACCTAACACAATGAATGAGAGAAAGAGAAAGAAGCTTGACAAAAGTAGAAACACTATCAAGGTATTTCTAGTCGTGTCAATGATCTCCTTTGGTGTTTACCTCCCTTACCTGTTAACAGCCGTGATTCGGAATGTCAACCAACGTCTCTATCAAAACGTTATGGTCAAATATGGGCCCCTACCCTACTTTATTACTTGGATGATTTTCCTTAACAATGCTATTAATCCACTCGTGTATGGTTTTATGGATAAAAAATTCCGACAGGAACTATCGGCATTGTACATTCAAATGAAACTCTGTTGTTTTGCTTGTTGTAGGCGTGGTTAAAAGTGCGAAACGTGTCACTTGTTTCCACAAGGAAAAGTTTTGTCTCAAATAGAAAACAGGATCATTCCCATATGGGAACCCAGACTTGCCAAAAGAAAAACCTGCATCAGGGCAATTTAACTCGGAGAGTTTCCCGCGCTTAATGGTACCATAATCCATTTTACTGAAGTTTCCGCTTTCTTTAATTTAAGAGAAAACGTAACTTGGCTTTGAGTTTTGATTGGGTATAAATCCCAGAAGAATATGCATTATTTACCACATTCTCTAACTTTTAGACAGTTTGTAATTTTGTAATTTATAGATATATATTTGTAACATATATTACCGCTTTGTTATTATTAGCGGCGTTAGTCTTAAATAGATTTTCATATAATATTATGGACAAAGGTGTTACGTCATTAATCTTAAAAGTAAAACAAAATGTCTGCCAGCCTTTGATTCCATCCTTCACAGGTTACTTAATAGCATGTTAAATTGTATTTTTGTCTGACGAATACGAAGAAAAACATCGCATTTTGTTCATTTTATAAGAGATTTTATAAACTCGTCTTAGAATTTTAATTCTTGTGTGAAAAGGCTGCAAAAATGAGAAATCTGTAGACTCGTTACATTAATATCCTACTATAAATATAATCATCATTCTCCTCCTCCTCTACATACTTTTTTCATCCTCAACATTGACATCTTTAAAAACATCTTTATCATTGTCATCGTCCTCCACTTCCGCCTCCATCCTCCTTATCTTCGTCCTCATCTTCATCCTCAACACTAACATTTTAAAATCATTATCATCTTCAGCAGAAACAGCAGCAATATGATATACATCACTGTCATCAATATAAACATATAGCATCATGATCAACATCATCGTCTTTATTAACAGAATCAGTCTTATGACCTTAATCTTTTGAACGTTTGTTATGTATATATACCTATACCAAACGATTTTGTCAATATTGAAAAGCATTGTTGTTTTTCAAAGAAAGATGGGGGAGAGGGGCAGACAGACAAACACTCAGACAATATGTCAGCCAGCAAGACAGACAGAGTAAGAGATGCAATTTCAAAATGCGTATTTCTTTATAAAATTCTTATTTGTATTATGCACGGAGAGAGAGAATGAGTGAAAGGTTAAAATGTCACAGAAAGTGAATGGGCAAGATGTTCATAAAAACTT